ATTCCCACAACGGTACACTTTTATGCATCGTAGCACCCAGTGATGAAAGAGACACTGGCCCATCTTCAATCTCCCTGCTGCTAATAATCCCGGTCACGCAATTATGTCGCCAACCCTCGGCACGTATCAGTGTTTTATCTAAAGTGACATTTATTAAAGGAACAAACTGTAAGGAAAACTGTAAGAAAAACTAAAGATATAAAGTAGTTACCTACTAAATAATGCATTGATAATCTCAAATATGAAATATTTCTGCATTAGTGCATAGATTAACATGTTTTCTTTAATCGAAAATTTCTACATATTTTACACTTTATTTCACTTATACGTAGCTTTAACGCTATTTAAAAAAAATAATGTACAATAATTTGTCGTGGTCTGTGGCATTGGATTCACTATTGGGAAAAAAGTATTAATATTTGTTTCTATGAGGTGATCCCATATATAATGTGGTTTTTTATACTTCTTTTATTTTTTAAAATTTAAGATAAACAAAACTGTTTTTAATCTAAAACATATTCTCTTTAATTATCTATAAATTATCTACTCATACTTTATAATTACTTTAAAAAACTTCTATTTATTTTTCTTTTTAAAAATACAAGAAATATAAAAAACCATATTATTTGTGGGATGACCCAATACATCAAATAAATTAAAAAGACATTAAACCGAGAAGAGAATGTTTTAACTGTTATATCGTCTATATCGAATGTCAATATTAAGTTTCGTCTCTCTTCATTTTGTCGCACAATTTACTTCCAAGAATTGATCGTAACTTACTATTCGAGACGTTTAAGTTCTATGGCTGAATAGGTATTATCTTCAGGCAATAACGAAGCTGGCTGTTATACTCGAACATTTCTTATTGGACCAATAGTCTTTGTCTCTTCAAACAAAGTCCAGCTTTTGATCGAAGCTGCGGACGTGACGAGCACTCATTCGTGGTACGAGGGTTGAATGAAAACTAATGCCTGTGATTTCATAACTTCCACAAAAATCGAGCTATTTTAATGAATGAAACATAAAAATACGAATTCAAACTTACCGTTTTCCTTTCATTTTCGTCATTCTTTATTGCGCAACTCTCAACAATGTATAGAAGTTAAATAAAAGAAATAGTAATGTCTATATGTATACTGAAGAAAAGTACTAACTCATAGAACGAAAATTAATATTTTCAAAGCTGTAAACAATTTTGTGTTTCGACAAAAATTTCGAGAAACATATAATTTTAAATAACACGTTGAAGTGGCTATTTATTTTGAATTTTCTAGAATTCATCAATTAATTCATTAAATATAATTTGTTTCTATAAAAATGTAACTGTAATATTTATGTAAATTATTAATTACACAGGGTATGCAAAAATAATAGTAGTTTGATTTAAGTAGAAAAACAATTACAATATGTAAAACAACTGATGTAGATAAAAAGTATTTAATAGGATAAGTAACTTATTTTTAATTACTGAACTATTGTTCAATAAGTAATTATGTATACAACTGCTGGTGATCTCTAATGACCTCGTTGTTGATTTGACAACCTAAAAATAAATAAATAAATAAGTAATATTGTAACTTAAACATCATGACACTAAATAATTCATAATTATTTTTATATATCTTTCTACAAAATAATTATTTATTATTATCTTTGTTACAAGATTCTCATGACAGTCAATGTGTTAATAATCTTTTTCTTGCCACGTTGTTTCTTTGGAATCACCGTCTAGAAGCTTGTGCTGCGCACTGTATAAGTATCTATTTCAAAGTTTCTTTTGTCTACCATTGTAAATCAATCAAACCCATTCGAACGAACATCCGACTGGTTAAAGTGTTTTCACACAGAGCACAACGGACGCGCGTAATTTTTAACCGCTCGCCTAGCCAGGGAACGGAAAAGACTATAAATGGCAAAGAACGTTGTTTTTCTACTTTTTCGCTGTTCCCGAGCAACACCGGTTGTCTGAAATATTCACGCGAATTTCCGCTGCTGATGGCCACCGAAACGTGAAATCGTCGTTCCTTGAACAAAACTATAAACGTTTGACGCATTTACTATCAACCGGAACCGAAAAGTTCTTCCATGGAAACGAAAATAGCTGACTGTCGACGTTTCGCGGATTTGTATTTTTTGTTTAACAAAGTAGTGAACTTGGAATACTTAAATGGTCTTCGATTTAATTTTATTAACGTGTGAATTATCATAGATGTATAGTTCCTGGTCAAAAAATTAGGGCTACCCATAGTTTTCCAGCGGCAATCATAGAAGTAAAAGGCCAAAATGTAATTAATGTTCATTTCTAGTAATAATATGCATATTATTGTTCATAATGTATCATCATTGAGAATTTATTGTCCAAACAGTGATATTTTTTTAATATTCTCCAGACACGAATCTCATTGAAAATCTCGAGAGTTTACTGAAAACTCTTGTGTATATACACATGATCTACGACTACACTAGTAGATTTAAAAGCAAAGATTGTTGGAATTTGGGGAAACCATCCCAAAGCCAAAGACACGATCACCAAATGTATAGACAGTATGTCAGAAAGGGTAAATGCTATAATAAAAACAAAGGGGAGAAACACAAATTATTGATATTTATTTATTTATTGTATATGTATGTACATACCTTAATAGTTAATAAAACTTATTATTAAAACTATGTGAAATATAAATACATCGGTTGAAGGAATTAAAGAACGCTGCTGTATATGTGCGTTAGGGGTGGCAATTAAAAAAATTAAATATAATTTACTTATAGTCGAGTTTGGATATAACTCCAGAAAGCTTCTTATATTCCTGAAGGTTTATTATTATTGATGTTAGTACACTTAATATACAAATACTGAGAACATCTTATAACAAACCACAAACTAATTAACCCTTTGTCTTCGATAGGCGAATCTTACTCGCCATTTGATTTAAGACAAAAAAAATGATAAAATTAAGAATTCCATATTAAATTTTAAGTAAAGTACCAACATATGATACATAGAAAGGAAACAATTATGTATATCTCTTAATTTCAGTAGGATTTTCCTTTGTGTAAGTTGCAAATGGCTTTATCGAAAATTTATCTGCCAGAAAATAATGAATGTTTGTAATGGAAAGTATTTTCGAGTGCAAATGATTAATTAGGGTGATCTTTTGATAAGTGTAAAGGATTAAAATGAAAATTGGTGATTCAGATGCATTTGATCTTGACTTTTATAGTCTTGTTTATCTCTTGTTCTTGGTAGCTTCCTGAGTGCCTGCAACAGCTTGAAATAGACTTTCGATAGAGTTTGATAGGGCTCCATGGTTGTTGCTTGGTTACTTGTTCTTGTGCAATCCGAAGTAATTTGATGTTGGCTACTCAGTTACGTGTTATAGTGCAAACTAATGTAACTTGATGTAATGCTATGAGAAGGCCAGGAGTAATAATCTAAAGTAAGAGAATTCTGTATCAGATACAATAATTGAAGTAAAAATTATAATTAAATATAAAGATTCTTTTGGCAAGTAAAAACAATTAACAATTATTAATGAAAGGGTAAAGTAAATTAATGTAAGTATTAAATTTATAGGTGTATAATTATTTACAAGAGATACGTAAACCATCAAATTAATATATGTAGTAATGTATTGGTATGTAATTTCTATAAAAATTGTAACAATAGATTATTTTCAGTTTCTTCAGATATTCGTTACAGTATTCAAGTGAAACTACTTATTATCAAAATCATTTCGTATACTCAGTGGTTCGAAGATATCAATAATTGCGAAACAAAAAAATCGAAACCAATCATTTTTACTGTTGCGGTAATTCCAATGTTAATATCAAAGACATAATAAATAAAACTATATTAAAAAGTTAATGTGCATATATCTCTCCTTTATATCATTTCCTTTTTATGTGCAGAACTTTACTCTTAAAATATTTATATCTAAATTGTCTCACAGATATATATATTCACTTATTCATAGATATGCTGTTAAAAACATTATTTTATTGTGGAAGATAAATGAAACTTTGCATTTGTCATTTGATCAATATTAAACGAGAAAAGGTATGTTTGTGTATATTTTGCAATACTCGTGTAAAAATGAATATATTTTGTGTATTCTATACTTTTTATATTTCATTGTATATAAACACATGTGATTCTCTGTTTACATCCCTTTCCGTTGTCATCATGAAGCAATATTCTGCGAAAGTGACTTCCAATACTAATGCCTATGTACATATGCAATAGAACGTTGATTATCTGAACTAATTGAGAGACAAATCTGCCAGGATATTAGATTTTTTGTATATCCTACCTGAAAAACTAAATTTCTAAGTCAACCAAAAATTAAATAATTTTGAGATGTAAAGTACTTTAAGTCTTTTTAGGCGACTAATGATATTTAATGTATGTTCTAATTGTACCACTACTATTATTCTTTCAGCATTTATAATACAAATGAAATCTGATCGACGACATTAAATAAAACACTATAATGGGACACTTACAGTAGAAAGGATACGTTTTTTTAAATATATGTATGCACATACATATGTGTGTGTGTATTCGTGATCTCGTAGTTTAATTTGAAAAGTGATGCTCTACTACAATATGAGCTATTATAGAATATACATACAATATCCACAATATACATAGGTACCTATGATTGCTCAGGTACCGAAAAATCTATAAAAACAATGAATGGGCTACCATTTTATCCAGGATTGTAATTTTACACAGAAAAATTAATTCTACAAGATCAACACAATTTGTTTATTTTTCCTTTACAAGTCAAATATTTTGTTTCAAGTGAAAGTTTGTTTTTGTGATTAACCTACAGTAAAAACAAGTTTGCAAAAATTTATATACGTTTCTATTATATAGAATATCAAACAAATAATACACGTGATGATTATTTTGACTGACAAGTTGCTTAATTAATAAATAAATCTCCACTTATTCGGCTACAATTCTAAACGTGCTCTACACATCATTCTTTTTAAAAAAAATGGATACATTTTAAAGTCAATAAAATTAAATAAATCTACGATGTACATTTTCATTTTTGGAGTATTAATCTAAATTCTAATTTTTATTAAAAACAATTGATATTCTTCTTTTACAAAATAAAGTTACCAGGTCATTTTAGAAGTCTTTATCCATCTTTATATGGCTTTATACTAAACCAGTATACAATAAACTTTATTTATAAGAAGTATATAAGTTTTTTCAACTATATAATTTCACTGAATAATATATTATTATCACTTCACTAACTAATTGGTACTTACATTAAAAATGTTTAAATACAACACTTTGAAATTAAAACAATTATTGTTCGTACCCTGTAAAATCTGCAAAAACTTCAACAATAACCTGATGCTTTCCATAAATCTCAGGATTCACGCTCACCCTTTCTTTCCTATAAAAACGTTTAAATCTTTGTACCTAAATTATCGATAAATGACATGCTTGACGTCCATTCATAAACAAAAATTATAAAACTCCATACAATAATATACTTAAAAATTCGTTACTCTCACGCTAAATACACAAGGTCAAAAATTTCGTTCATCCACTGCATCATCGATCTTTATTACATCGTTGACTGCGTATAAAACACAAAGTAAAAAAAGGAAACTAACAAATATTACAAAAATAGAGAGATGGAAAGGGACAAGAAGGAAGAAATAGAGAAGAACAAAGTGTTGCAAGGTACAAAAAGCAGAATAGTTTGATCGTTTTCTCAGGGATATTTATGCCTGGTCAGATGTTAAGAACCCGAAACAGTGGTTCCAGCTAGGGATGTTCCGATCTAAGTACTTAAATACGAGTAAGGTACTGGTACTTGTGATTCGATACCGAATACAGTAAGATCTCTCTTAACCCTGCTCCGTTTAATACTGCTTCAATATTACACATATGCAAAAGAATATATTTTTTAATCGCTGTTCTGTTTCACTTTTCCTTATTATTTAATTATTAATGTGACCTCATTTAATGCAGTTTTATTTAGAGCTTGATTCGCGTAGAAGGTATCCCTTAAGTAAGATCTTACTGCACTTTGAGTATCGAAAAAGTGCATTTGTATCGAATGAAACGAGTATCGATACGAATATGCATATTATGTTTACTTTGTACTCATTGTATAATATACTCTTCATATACTTGTATTTCTAGCATTTCCTTTTGTTGGTATTTGTTGGTAATATTCAGAACAGTATATTGTAGTCATAGGTAAATAATAAGAACTTATTTTATAATATTCGTATAACTTCAGTAACAAGTAAATCTTGCTGAAAATGAATTTCAGTTTCGGTTATGAATTATGCGATATAAATTATCAATTTATTAAATAGAAAGCAATCTGTTGATTTGAATAAAGTTAATTTTGTAAATCAGTTTGCTGTATCATCTTCACAACTTAATCCTTTACATCCCTACTTCTTTTTACACTTTCTCTTCGATAGTTTTCTATTCTTTCAAGTGTTTTATTTGAAATGTATTTCAAAAGATAGTTGATTAGGAAATAGTGTAAACAATTATTTTTATTAACACGTTTATAATAACATAAAATAATTTCTAAATGTCTCGACAGGAAAGCACATTTTTTAATAGATCTAATGTCGAGTCACATTCGTCATAGGGGTGCAAAGGGTTAATTGTATCCTCAGAGCCACGCCGATCCAAGAGTGCAAGGGGTGCACCGCACCCAGGCGGCCAAAAACAAATATCTAATATTTATTTGATGCACCTATTGTATAGTTTGAATTATGCAGGGTAGTATAATCATTAATAGAGTATAGAGTGTGACAACGTACTGCCTTATAGCGAAGCAAGGTCTTCGCAATGTCACTTGCATTAAACTCAAGTTTTTAAGGACAGGCCGGTAAACGGTTACGTGAAACTGTCGATATATTACGCTCGTACCGATTTTGATGATTTTTACATATGTTGTTACATAATTTTGATAACCATTTTCCTTTATATGTTGCTCACGGAAGGCTATAGTTTCCGAGATAATTGTGAAAAACTTCTGCTACTACACAGTCGTTGCTACGGCGGTGATTTGCATCAATCAGCCCTCGATCTACTCAGGTTACATGTACTCTTCCCGATAAAAGTTATACTCATATTGAAATGAATTTTGGACAATTACACACTAAATGCCTAACCCCCAGCCCCAAGCAAAACTAGCTTTACCTATACCGATATTTACTATCTGAGAGAAACTCATTCCTATATGTACCAGATAAGGTATGAAACTGTTGCGATTGAGTCAAAACTTTTGTATATGAGTGTACCCATATGAAATTCGAGAAGGTGGTGGCCGACGTGATAACCACCCGGCTATGCTTAGGTAGTTTCACAAACGCGCTTACGTACATAGAATTCAATGTAGTGGTAGTAAAAGTTTTTCGCGATTATCTCGGAAACTAAAGCCTTCCGTGAGCAACATATAAAGAAAAAAGTTGTTTGAAAGCATGTCTCCAACAACATATTTCAAGATGACCAAAATCAGTGCGGACGCAGTACATTGACAGCTTTACCAGTGTTTGCGCCTGGGAAGCAAATATCTTTGCCGCCCCCCTGGGTATCGGAACATCCCCAGTTTCAGTGGACGTTAGATATAGAACCGGATCGGTCAAGGCGCGACGCTATTCGCAAAACTAGAGGTTAGAGTGCTGTTGCTGGCGCTCTGTTTTACTTTGGCCGGATCGTTGAGCGTAGATGTTCCCTGACTGGAGCATTTCTTTTTGTTCTCGAACCCCAACTGTCTTTTCAGGGCCTGGTACACACGCGGCTTCAACACGAACAGAATGAATATCATCACACCGTGAAGACAGTTTATCGCGTCGCTCCCGTAGAATAAAGTTTCCTTCCACTCGTAATCCGTGTATTTGTTCATTAAGGAGGACGCTATCTCTGCGATCCACGTGATTCCCATCACGACGAATAACTTTACATTCATGATCAACCTGATTTAATAAAAAGATTACTTTAGACTGTAATTCGCACGATAGGTTGAAAAGAGAGGTTGCAGTATTAAGTATTACTTGTCTATTATTAAACTTTAACCTTTAGAATAAATGTAAACACAAAATAAGTGTACAATTCGTTTCTTTTCCTACTAAATCATTAACGACAAACTTGTTTCATCAAGCGCAGTTGAGAAGTAAATCATAAGACAAAGAGTTAAATAGTAATAGTAAGATTAGTTTGGTTAATTAAATAATATTACAATTACTATACTACTAAGTAATATTATAACTACTAGCGTATGTCGTAAACGTTTTCTTTTCTGAGAAAGATAAGACTTAGACTATCATTATTTTGAGCCACTCATATTGTACGATTTCACGATTGAAAAACAATGGAGTAAGAAATAATATACTTTAGTGTCATTTTCTCACTAATACGTTTATGACGTATTTTATATATTGCATTGCTTTCCAATTCGTTAATTTGACTTTTTCCTTAGTTAAAAATTTTATTGAGAATCTACACAAAATAAAAAAGGAACAATGTTAATAAAATTGCAGTGAAAGTGATTAAAATCCATATGAAATAGGTAATGTATCTGTGAATATACTTTTAATTAACTTACATAGGAAATACTTTAATTAAATCAATTATAATTTCATTAATTAATACACCTGACTTGTGCACTTTAAGTATCTCACTTATTTCCATAATAGTATAATTGCATAGTAAGTTTCTATTTATTTCATAATTAAAAAACTACTATACGATAATGACTTAATATAAAGTGGCAAAAGTCAAGTCTCTAAAATAATAATTCTTCGTAAGATAATTAAAATAATAATTCAAATAAATATGTCCTACAAAAAAATTTCTAATATGCTACTAAATCATTCTTAAGGTATAGATACACTAGCAAAAAATGTCTGACAGCGACATACAGAAGCGTTACACTTCTATTTTATTTTATCTTATTACTACTGTAAGTGAATTAATACTAGAACTATTAGATGGGTCAAAATGACTCATTCTTGATTTCTTCTTTTTGTAATCATTAAAAAGATAACACCTGTTTCTCTGAGAAATGATTAAAGAAATTGATTTAGCAATGCGCAAATAGAATCTTAAATCAATCAAAGTCTCAATAGATGCATTTTTGGAGTGTTCATAGAGAAATTTCAGAAAGTCCACCTAACTGCTCGCTAGTTTTAGTGTTAAACTCAAAATCAAATGCGTTTACATGCGTCCCGAGAGTCGCTATAAAAAAATGTAGCAAATTGTTTGCCAGTGTATTTGCCCCTTTATACTCAGTGCGCAAGTTACTTGCGCGATAAAGCTGCAATCGAATTCGTCGATTTTCACTTTGCCCTAGTGTTTAAAGCACAGTCGATAAACTCACTTAGTTTTGTCAGCGTGAAATCGTTTGCTCCTGGGATCCGTTGGGTCGGCCACCCTTCTTATCTCGGCTTTCACCTTACTACAGTGCCTTGACGTGAGAATGAAGAACACCACGTTTGATATCAGCTGTATCGCGACTGGCGCTCTGAAGAAAATCATTTCACCGAACATAAACTGGTCGTCTGTAACATCAATGCGTCTCAGTGAGCAAACATAATCAATAAACCACTATCAATGAATTGTGCTTAACGATACCGGAGCTATAGAACTTCTCAATCTCCTTTCCTTAAATACCGTTTCCGCAATTTTACGTCCCTGTATTCAGTCTTATAGGAAGATTTATCGTTTTTATTTCTCCTGTCTTATTATTTCATACAGCGTTCGTTAGTAGTGTAAACCCAGATGCTCCAATAAAAGAATTAGTTATTAAAATCCCTGTCTTCATTCGTGGAGAGTATTTTTGTATAGTTTTTATGCTATATTTTTTTGATTGAGTGTTTGTATAGGGTAATTCTAGGCGAGATAGCTCGGTCTCATTAAAATTGTTAAATATCTTCAACTCTTTTTAGTGGTATACTGAATCTTCTACAGAGACCTATTTAATAGTTTTTCTTATAAAGGTATATTTATTTTCATAAATATCTTTTATTTTTTGTTAGGTGTCAATAATTTTAAGAACCAGAAGAAGTTCGTCCGGGTCCTTAAATCAAACTTTGAACATACAGAAAGTTTTTGTAAAATAATTTTATTTTATTTGATACCCACAGTATGGACATAACTTGTTGCTAACGCCAATTTCATTTATTAAACTAGTGAACTATTGATTGAAATTGGACCTCAATTTATTGCTAACAGGAAAACCGCACGAACTTTTTCCAATATCTAATATTTATGTCATAGTTCTTTTTACGAAAGTGGACCATCTGCCCCAACTTACTCTACTGTATATGAATCGAAGATATAAGATTTTGTTTCTAAATTTTTTGTTGCGCACAATCTAATATTGAGAGTACTCTAGAAACAATTCAGGATTATTGTAGGATGTATTTTATACGAGTAAAAAGGATTATTAACTGTGTAACATGAAAATTTAGCAAGTCATTCTAATTATCTTAATAAAATAGATAAGACTGACCGAAAATAGATAATAATTTGTTGGTGTAATTTATTTATAAGATTTATAACAGTTGTAAGAATATACAAAGAAGCATCAGTTGATCTATTAAAAAATATACAGTTCTTTTTTAAACTTCACAGGGGTAACCTTGAAATCATTGAAATACGACCATTCGGAATCATTTATATGCTTTTTTCTTGTGTCTGCATGTATGCTTATTATTGGAACGCTTAATAAAACATTGTCAGAGGAAATCAGATTTCTCAGAAATTTCCTTAGAAGTTTCGGAGGAAAATAAACAAATTTCGTTTTAAATATCTTGTATGAAAAGGTTTAACAAAGACGTGCAGGAAAAAATATACATATACAGAAAGGATTAATTCTGAAACTGTCAAGGATGAAAGTGTTCGACAGATGTGTAAGTGATTCTTGCATTGACAAAAATAATAATTTTAAGATAATAAATCAAAAATAATAAATAAGAAATTGGTCAGTATCGTGAAATAAGTAGAGTAATTTATGAAAATCTTCTTAATATTCTTTTTACATAGAATTAACTTACTCAAATTTAATTAACTTATTACTTTCTTGCAAAAATTTTTGTCATACTGTTATATTATTGACTGATTCTCAATATAAATAAACGTTAGCGTTTTATTAGAAGAATTAAATACGATTTGAACTTATACCAATGACTAACAGCTGTTTTCATTATCAAATTTCGTTATAAAACCTTATATACAAATAAAACAGAATTGAAAGTTTCACAAAAGAATATTAAAATAAGAATAATAATAAATATTAAATTTAATTATTTCATGATTAATAAAATTAGCAATTATGTATTCACATAAACAAAATAATTAATCTAGTAATGAATAATAAAATAGGTACATTTAATTATAAATTAATTTTCGTTTCGTTTATTAGAATCAATGCCTATTGCTTCACCACCTATGAATCACTTTATACAGCTTGTGTTGAAAAAAAATGTTTCGCGAGAATTCCAAATAATAAAATACAATTGAATGTCCCAACCCTTAAAAATCAGTAGAACCTCTGATAGAAAATAGTTCACAAAAATATTTGATGCATATTTTTTTATTGACTACCAATCCTATTGAGGGGGTGAGAACGATTCTCAAAATTGAGTACAAGAAACATATTTTATTGAATATTATAGAAATGACTTGGGCTAGAAGAACATTGCTAATTTTAAACTACTGTAGTTTTCAATATACTCTCCAATATCTATGCAAGTACCAATTTAAATAATGTGTCAAAAAGAAATACGTTTTCGTTAATGCTCTTTAGTCAGTTGTTAATTTATGTCTCTATGCATTTATGTAGATAAATTAATATATACATATATTCCAATACAAAGTAGTAATAAAGTAGAATTTTAATTTCCATATTTTAAAAAGATAATTATATTTTACATTTTCTCATATTTTGTAGAATACGAAAGTTTTAATAATATAATTAAAGAAATAGTATATAAACATAAATACATTTTCAATAACACTATATTTTAAATAAATGTATTACAATACACTTTGAAAATTAGTCTACAAATTTCTTCAAGCTCCTGTAGTTTCCAAGATATATGGCTAAACGTGTTTCTCACCCCAAATTTCGAGGGTTGTTCCTTCCCCTTCGATATCAATGATGGCCCATAAAAAAATACGTGTCAAATATTGTTGCAAGAACAATTTTCCGCCGAAGTTCCATAAAATCGACAGAGGTCGTTTGAGAACGTAGCCTTATTAAAGGGGAAACTGAATCCACAGAAAGTAAATAAAACCGTTCCGTTAAAAACTTGGATTATCACGAACTACGATGACAATTATAACAGCTTCTTAACTTGAAACAGTCGCTGGATAAGCTAAGGAATTTCCTAGCGTTTCGTTCTTCCCCTTGTTCATTCTCGTTCCGTAATGAGGTATCCTCAACAAAAACTTTCCCCAGAAAGAGTATAAAATAACACTTGCAATTCGACCTTGCAGACAATTATAACGAAGTTCTGCTTTTGCTATTCGATTCAACGAAAGTAGGAAAAGGAAGCAACGAAACAGCCGCAGAACGTTTGGATCATAAAAAACTTAGCCCCCAGTCGTCTTTAACGAGCTGACTCTTAAAGCTGGATTTCGTGCAAAACCATCGTCTACTAACACAAACTAATTAGTGTAATTAGTTGAATGGCCGGCGCTCGTTTAGCGAAACGCCGAGGAAACGTTGCGTGACATGAAAAGCTTAGAACGAACTTACTTGTCGTGGCCAAAATATGTATGTCTCCGCAGGGACTCGTTACGTTTCCGACGTTGACATTTTTCGAATACAGTTTCACTGTTGAATCCTTAGAAATTTGAAAAGGACATCGCAATTGAATATTGTAGGACTCAACAAGATCGTTATCCAGGTTATTGTATAATATATTAAAAATAAACTGCTGGTAAACTCATTTTTATTAATTAAAAGCAAGAATTCTTTGTGCTTAAGAATCATTAGTCAAGCAACTGTTTGATTGGAATAATAAATCTTGTTTTGTTCAGATTGTTACTTTGTATTATATCTATATTATTACGTATACAGGTACATGATATATATTTTTAAAACATACGTTGATAAATATACAAAATTGACATTTACGTTCTGAATGATTGTTTGTGAAAAAATTTTCGAAGATAACTTTACGCTTTTCATGCCTCAGTGGAGAGACCCATTAAAAACTATTCACAAAAATTAAATAATATTCATATTTCTTAAATTCTGTTTAAAATCTTTACCGCAAGCTTGACTGATTAATAACACACATAAGAAATATAAAAAACGATACATATAAATGCATATAAAGTAAAAATATTGCAAAATAAATTACTTTTAATTCCGACAAGAATATTACAATGTCACAGGATACATCTCCTTATTGCGAACAGAGTGGTTCTAGTTACAGTTTCTCTTCTTCAGACACTAAAAGACTCGGCACACTCGGCATTTAATAAAATCTCACCCCCATCGATCATGGAAGACGTAAGAACTGCCTCAACAAGAGGGAATTTTTTATAGCTTGAAACGAGTATCGCGCTTCTCAGTGGCAATCTCTATTCACGAAACAACGAAATTTCTGCCGTAGAAAGGCTCCGGTGACAGAAGAATGGGACGTGAATAAAAATCCGGCGAAAGCTGCAACCTTAATTCAATATTTGATCTGGAAAAGCGCGAAACCTGCGGCCGTAATTTAAGTTTCCACCGGACGGAAATCTCGGGGGAGCATCCGGGTTGTTCTTTTGCCGGGATTCTCGCATTATGTCGCTTTAATTCCAGAAATTTAAAGACACCCGGGAGGAAAAGGAAGAGGGAAAAGAGGTATCTCCATTCGCCAAGCGAAAATTTGTGGACTGCACATGTGGCAACGCTGTGAAAGCTGCACGAAAAAGTTTTTTTTTCGGTACAGCGGCAGTGAGATAAGAAACACGAGCAAAACGAATATGAAAAAAGGATGTGATCTTATAGCAACGGCGAGTATAGACTCCGTAGCCGCCATTGTGAAAGGAATCATTTACGGATATAATGAAAACACTCAATAAACGAATTTTGTTTAGAATTAGAATTCTGTAGAATTAACACAATAACGTTGCATCTCTTTGTTTATTATAAAAAAGTTGAAAGCTCATTAAAATTCTTAATGAGATTGATCATGAGAGGAACTCAATATTAATGAATGTGTTGTAACAAATATCATTGGAATAAGTTTTGTTGTTCGATGAAAAAACTGGATGGTGTATTAATAAGAAAGAAAATGAGTTATTATAATTACTTTAGAGTTATCAAAACAACATAGTAAACGAACGATCTAGTATTATTTTATAGAGAGTTAATCATATACGTATCTCAAAAATTCATGAATACACGAAACAATTGCTGAAAAAGTATTTTCAAAAATAAACTTTATTTAATTATTGTAACTGGTTGGTTATTTAATAAATTATATCAAGAGAAATAAATATTTTAAGATAGATGAATTTCATTTTGACCAATTCACAAGGACACAAAAACGATGTCAAACAAAACGAAAATGTTATCGATTCATAAAACAAAAAATCAACTTTCTGAAGTTCGGCACGCACGTTTGAATATTTGTAACAACAATTAACATTCCTTTCTACTTATAAAATAAGTTAATTGAATATTAACATCAGAATGTTTTAGCTGCTATGAAATCTATAGTATTCAGAATTATAAAAAATATTGAACTCCTGTCTTTAATATCTATCTAACTTTCGAATATTCATTTGTTTACTTACTTCTGAACCAGCATCTTGCTACCCCAAAGTTTGGTTTCATGGCTTCCCCTAAGAAAGATGTTCTGTCGCCCACGATACAAAATAGAGTGATGAACAACGCCAAACCCCATGCGTATATGGAATATAAAAGGAATCTTCTAGCATAAGAATGACCCCCGGTGACTTTTCCACGTAGCCTCCTGCAAAAGTACAAAATTTTTAAAACTGAACATAGCATTGCAAGTCATGCAATTATACAAAATTATATTTAACCAGTTAAATATATATTCCAACGAAAAACTAAAGAAAACAAAGAAAAATTACACAGTTATCTGAAAAAATACATAATTTATCGTTGAAAAAATTAGTACCATTTTGCGTTTTAACATGACGTGTATATTCATCGAACGCAGTTAACTGGTTAAAGTGTAACCACAAATTAAAAAATTTTATAGAAGGAAAACTTGAGCGATGATAAACGTATGGCAAACATGTTATTTGCATGTTTGTCCTCCTCTCACTTCATTTTCTGACAAGAAAAACAATGCATCTAAACAAGGCTTACGCATTTTTTTTCATTTATAAATGCATATTTTATTATACGTATGTGTTTACGTATTTAAAAAATTAATATACCATGAGATATTTGAAGTTCTTAAATAAACGGTTCGATCGAAATGGTAAAATGTTTTAATATTTACAAATTTTTTTAAATCAAAACAAATACAAAAAAACGAAAATATAAGTTTTAAATGAAGTAGGAATGAATTTCTTGTATGATTAATTAAATTCGATGCATAACCCGACTTAATTACTTGATTCAATCAAAAAAAAATTGGAATAAATTCATACTTCCTTTAATACATTCAATGATCAATATTTCCAACTGAAATATACAATTGTCAAACACATTTCAAAATGAAATTCTCAATTCAACTGAAATATAATAGAAATTAATGATAAATGATAAAAATCTTCGATTAATAAATTAAAGTTTTTAATTATTAAATACGTTATTTAGTCATTCAGTCGGCAATTGGATGACTATATTAAACAAATTATTTCATCAATAAATTAATTTAATGTTTTGCCATCCTCTACGATCAATTTCCTTTAACAATAAGCAGTAATTGGACAATTAAGTAAAAAATGTTACTTGATTGATAGCCAGTACTGTTATATACGTATGATAATTAAAGAGAATTTTATGCATTCATACGATTTAGAAATGTGCGTAATATGAAGAAATAAACATTTAACTTTTAGTAAAACTTATTTATATTTGTAAAAAAATCTATATTATAATCCTCATAGAATGGCTACTTCCTTTTTTCGACTCTTTTTAATCTTTCTTTCGAATCTATTACCTTAGTATCCAGAATTGCTAACGTGTGAAGCTCGTAACCTAAAAATACTTTGCACAAATATACAATAGTTCTTTCATTTCCAGTATTTAGTCTATTCCTCATATCCGAGATGTTTCAATTGTTTACTGAGTAACAAAACGTTATTTATTTAAATAAATATGTTCAAAGAATCTGAGGAGTAAACATTGGTATGTATTTACATGGAAGTTCCAGAATTAATATTCAAATTCGGGCGATCGGTGACGCGCTTTCTCATTGACTTGTCGGATAGATGAGAAATAGGCTCGAAGAATCACATTTCTCGGTATACGTGGCCGAACGAATGCAAAATGTAATCTAAAATTGATCATAACCGTTCCTCAGAGTACAAAATTGGAAGACACATTGCGTTGAACAAATGCTGTTGTTCTTCGAACCAACGCCAGATGAATGGAATCACATGAAACATTTTTTTCCACCAACCCATAAAGTATAAATCATTGTTTGAGTTTTTATATCGGCAAAGTTTCTATAAAAATAGTTTTTATAAAGGATTTAATGAATATATAGTAGAAAGTATAAAAAACAATGGGATTCGTCGTAATTGAATATTCTAATATAGAAATATTCTTTTAATTAAAAGTATTCGAAATAATTTTAAGCAATAAATATTGTCTTCTTGTATTACAGACATTTACGTACTACTGCTTTCACAAAAGTTTATATAATTTAATAGTGTTTATATAATTTAGTTTATATAATTTAAAACATGGGGTCTATAAATATTTAAACGAACTGACCATTTTTTTAACTCTATCTAAATAAATCAATTTTAATATCAAAGTCTAACTGTTCATATCCGTGTTGCTGACTCCCTTAGATACACATAATTCCTTAACTTTCTTGCACTGTTTAGATCAATTTAATAGAATTGTAAATGTTTCATTGTCATAGTATTTTGTTTATTCAAGAAACATGCCTTTCAATGAATATCGTATTTAAAACAATTTAATTCACAAAATATTAATGTAAATACTATCTGAACAGTGCACAACAGTTAACACGTTGAATGCCATGGGAATCACCAGTGACCCCTAACCAAATCGAATCACTATAGTTCACTCAATGATGATAATACGATGACATTCAGCCAGATAAACGTGCAACAATAATCATGCAATTCTATCAAATGATATAATATTATATTTTTTCATTCTGTGTAATTTACTTTATGAAATCGTACGGCATTCGACGTGTTAAATTAACAGTTGAGTCTACTATATTGCGACTGTATTTTAGTCATTGCAAGAAAATTCGTGATACGTATTCAAAAAATTGGAAACTCGATTCTTCTAAAATATCCGTCGATACCAAACACAAAAACAAGAGTTTGACGTCATTCATTCACCGATCAGTAGTCACACGCACATTCTCCTACGTAACGGACTTCGAGAAAATCAATTATCAATAAACAGATTGTTAAATATTAAAAATAGTATAAAACTGGTATTAAAAATAATTTTCTTTTATGTATTTAATGCTTTCAATTTTCTTGTTTTTTCCCAATATTTAAAACTCCTTAATAAACAGTTAATAAATATCTTTTAATAAATTGTGAATAAATATCTGAGGCTCTGGAAATTATATTATAAGAAATAAGTACCTATAGAACTTACTTCCATAAACTTTTATAATTTTACAATCGATTTACAAAGTATTATATAA